CACATAAGTGGCAATATAATATAATATATGGAAAAATAATAGTTCGTCACTGAGACCGGTGAACCAATGCAATGTATGAAATTTGAAAGATAAAATTGCTGTTGATTGTTTATTTAAAATAGCGTGAAACTATGTACATTATAAATAGATGAAAAGTTTAGTCTTTATTGTTAGGAAAGAAAAAATTAATTATAATAATAGGTACTTATTTAATATTAATTTAATATCATTTAATATTAATGTGATATTTAATATTAATTATTTAATATTAATTGTACTGTATCTCAGAGACACTATTGTACTATAAAATAAAAGAAGGAGAAAAAAATTCTTTCATGTAATATAAAAATCATTATATAACGTATATTATTGTATATTATAATATGTCATCCATATAATATTATACTTGAAATTACACGTGAAACAATTTTTACATTGTCAAAATTTTATCCTTCTTACAAATGATCGATATTAATAACAAAATACATATATGCAAGTGAAGCAGTTACTATATATTATAAATGTCATTATTAATCGAAAATTGTAGAAAGATAGGTAGCATTTAGCAATAGAACTGTAGAATAGCATCAGGATAAAGTCAAAATAAAATTGATAGCTGAAAGAAGGTTCATGAGCGTGAAAGTCATAAACGATAGCACCACTGTAAAATACATTGCACACCGAATTTCGAAGAATTTAGCAGCCAGACTAGCTCTGTACATAGAGGGGACTCATAGGCATAGAAAAAGGACGTGTGGTATCGCATATCGTTGGAATGATAGCGTTGTGATCATACGATAGCTGCCTTTCTTGATTGATACACTGCATCGAGTGTCAAAGGTAACGTTATATTTCAGTCTGTGGGCGAAAATTTTTGATAGCCTTGCAAATTCTGGTTCGAATGTTCCTTTTGTCATGTTTTTCTATCCTTTCACACGCTCGGCATCGTCCTTTGAATGTAAATATCTTGCATAATGAAATATTTCAATTTAATCGATATTTCTATTCGATAAAAGAAACTTGAAGAAATATATAGTATAATAAAAAGACTTTTGATATTAAACTTTTTCGATATTAAATGGTATATGTTATATAGTCCAATGTTCACTTCAAAATTTAGGAATGTTATATTTTTTTAACCTTTTACAGTAACAAGTAACTTTAGTAATAAGTATTCTTCTTGTGCTTCAAATCATCCTAATCATTTTCGTTTGTCATTTCAATTTGTGAAAGAATCATGTCTAGATCTTCGTCATTCATAAATGAAACGTTCATTTATCACGAAATTATAATCTCTTATATCATATTTTTATTTCTAATAAAGTCTTTTAAATATAATTAATAGTTTCGATGTTGTAAAATATATTTTCTACAATAATAACTATAATACAAAATACACACAACAACATAAGAGTATCACAATAAGTCATAATATGTTATATAAAAACTAATATGAAAATATAAATTTAAGATATATTTTAAATGAACTGTTTATTTCAGAAGTCGTTATTTCTTTTGATGCGTTAGCATGCTTCGAATTTTTTGACATGAGTGTACGATATTAGAGCGGCAAAGATTTTTAGTAATAAAAAGTTCTGAGATGCATTTCAAAGTCGTAAATTTCCTGGCAGCTGCACATGTAATTTCATTTCTATTCCCGGTTACGACGTTCTACAATTTCATTCACGGCATTCTAGCATTTCTACGCAGTTCCTTCGACAAGAATCAGTCGACACAGTTTTTCCTTGTAATTTCCTTTCCTTTTCTTTGCGCAATATTCAAGTTGGATGGTTCTAAAATGCAAAAATGCCAAAGAGCCTTCAAATCGTATGCACATTCGTTACCATCTCATTTAAAATACTAGAAGCAGAAAATCATAACTTTGAGTTTACGAAGAATATACAACTATGATACAATCTTCAATAAAATTCTGTTATAATAATATGTCGATTGTATTCGATTAAATAAAACTGGTAGAAATTAATGTAATCAAAAGGAATTAATGAAAAATTAAACTGTATTTCAATTTATTATGGAGCATACACTACAACTCGTCGTATAATATAAATTTTTAGCATAGCCACAAAATATATACGTATGTTTAGCTTTAATTAAGAGAACACGAAGTTGATCTAAAAAAGTGCTTTTGCAACATGCATTTATTTTCAATCTCTTCTTCTAAGCGAAAAGCAGACATTCTTTCACAAATAATTATTCCATAGACATATAAGCTGCATAAGTTAACATTTACGTATATTAAATACTATTAATTGAAATAAAAATTTGAGATTCATTTAAGAATTAATTTTCAGAACATTTATTATTTTGTTATTCCGCATTCACTGAATTTATCGTCTCATTGTTCTCATGATGATTAAATTTAATTATAACTTGAATATTTTCAATATTCACGCGTAGTATGTTTTTATAAAATAATAAAAATTTATTTAATGTGTATTAAATTTTATATATAAAGTAATAAAAATTTATATTAAAGTATGATATATTATATAATTAATATATTAAATTTTAAATAATTTATATATAAATTGTATAAATTATATAAAATTATTATATTAAAATTATATTAAATATATATTATATTAATTATATTAAAATTATATAATTATATAAATTATATTTATAATTATATAATTCTGTTATTAATAATTATATAATTAAATATATTATAAATTATATTTAAAATTATATAATTATATAAATTATATTTAAATTTTATGTATCTTATTATATAATACACTAAATTTTATATATAAAATTATAAAAATTTAATTTAAAAATTATGTAATATATTAAATTTTACATATGAAAGTAATAAAAATTTGTATCTGCAAGTTTATAACATAAAAAGAACACAATAATTACATCACACAATTTCTATAATCAAAGTTATTGCTAGCTAGCTTCTAACAATCTTCAATAGTGCAGTCACAACTGAGTTTGTCACGCAGAGATTTGACATCGGCGCGAAAATTCACGGCATAAAAAGATCATCGTTTGAATACGAAAGCGACGAGAGAGGAAGGAGTGGCGCAAAGGAGAATCCGAAACGGAACGTATCAGCGATAAAGGGATATTGTTCACAGCGATACGTGTGTGCACGAGAAGCTAAATGGACGGATAAGCTTGCTGGAAGATGTCTGAGAGGCAGGCGGCTGGCCTCCACGATGGTTCTCAGCCTTCCGTTAGGGCAATGCCATCGTTCGCGGTGCACTGATTTCGTGGAATTCCCATGGCGCGTTCCCGGGGTTGAGCAAGCCTGACGAACGCTGCTATTCTACCGAGGACTTTATTGGCTTTTAAGACGGGCGTAATTAAAATGTAAAGGGTTGTCGGCTCGCTCATCCCCTTTGGCGCTGGCTCAAACTCACTTCCTATACACAACCTGTTTCGCTATGTTGATCCTAATCTGGCGACGAACCGAGCTCTCCCGTTACTAGCGGAAAAATAAATTTTCCTCCCATTTTTTTTTTTTTTTTTTTTTTTGTAAATATCTTCATCAACCGCTTTATTCCTTGTTTCTCAATCTCTCTTAACTTTGATTTTATATTCAACGGAACATGAAAGAGTTGTTAACAAATTATTAAACTTTCACTCTTGGCGACGACGAATTTGTTTATTTCACTTCACGATTATATCTTTTTCTATCTTGATTAATTTCAATTCTGACTAAACATCGTGCCTGTTTTTCATAACTGGTTCGCTCAATGTCGAAAATAACAATGGTGAACTATATACACTGCCTGCTTGCATATCGTTAGCAATTTCATTCGTTCTCTTTCTGCACGTCAATTTTGATATTGACCCATAAAAAATTCAACGTCAAATATTTCAGAAGCTAATCCCACGGAATCATGGGAGTAATGCGCTGAGAAAGTTCAATCGCGGTATGAATATAAAGCCTGACGATTCTCATTTCAGTTTATGAAAGGTTGTCTATATTTACGATACGCCAACTTATTAGGTTTTACTATCGACCGTACGATGAACATTTTTCTCCCGAAGTGAAACTCGGTTTCCGTATATTATTCTTTTTCTCTATCAACAGCTTTTATTACTCGCCATCGACTGATTGAAACCAGGTATCTCTTTTCCAGGTTAAACTTGCAAACTTGCTGCAACGTGGAATGTATGCATTGAATATTAATATATTACGATGATCATTATTTTATCAAAATGTACTTACGTTTTTCAATAAAATTATGTGTACAGTTTTCTCAATATAATAAATATTTTTGAATAAATTACAATAGATTGAATAGAAAGGTCAGTATTCAAATAATATTATATACATACATTATAAAAATAGTAATTATCATGTATAGTATTGTACAGTATTTGCGAAAAAATAGTTTTTTAAATCACATGTTCTTCTGTGCGAATGATAATTCACTATTTCAACATTTCTAAAAATACTTGGAAATGTAAAGTGTATAAATACAACACAATTCTATCGAAACACGTCTAAATTTACTTTCATGCTAATAATATGATATTTATTAATATAAATTGAATGTGTTTGAACAATGCTTATCACACAGTTTCATAATATGTTACATTCGAAAGGAATTAATTGTATATATGTATAAAAAACATACTATAATATTATACAATGTTTCATGTCTCATTCATTTAAATAAATCTTCCATTCTGATTTCTACAAGATTGTTCTATTGGTGAAACAAAAAGAAAAGAAAAATTAAAAATCCTTTCTGAAATTTTCTCCATCCGAATGGAAAAGAAATTATAATGTTGTTTCTGTCAGATTAACGTTTATATAGTAATTATGAAATATTTATTAACGTTTATATAGTAATTATGAAATATTTATTAACGATTATATAAGTAATTATGGAATATTTATTCAAGCAAGCACATATAGAAAATTCAAAGTCCACGTAACAATTTAAATACAAAGCTCTGTGTTCTCCGTATAATCAAACTCAAGAGAAATCAAGAGAAATCAAGGTTAAAATTACTTTGGCATTAATGTTACTTCAACTTTCTCGCAATATTCTTCACGTTGATGTGTCTCACCTTTACTAGGTTCAGATCTTCCATCATATAAAAGGTGACCACGTCCATCCGCGGCACAGCCACAAGACGCTTCGTTTCTGATATTTATCGAACGTATCTGCGGAATATAGCGAGTACGTCCAGTATAACAATATCTATTTTCCGGGTGGCGATGCGGGATGAGCAGAGAAGCTTGGCGAACGGGGGCGAAACGAAATGGAATGAATCGGAGAGAAGAACTACTATACGATGACGTTGACGACGACGTGTTGGTCTGTCGTAAATGGAATCCCGGGATGGAAGATAAATAAAATGAAACGAAAGAATATAGGATGACCGTCGAACAAGGAGAATAACACGTCATTGACGCGACTATCCAACTAACATTGCGTGATTGCAGCGCTGACTGTCCAACTCGTCTCCTCGTTTATATTCATTCATTTCATTGTTAAATGATAATTACTTTATTACTCTTACGTTTGTCAGTTATAATCATATCAGTTATTAATCACCATCGTCAGTAAGAAGTAATTTCACTCTTTCTATGTTTGTTCGTTGTAATTTCATTAACTTTTCGACAACAATGAGAAAATTTACATAAATTTCTATAAAAGTATTCAATTTGTTTTTTTTTTTATACACAATCAGCTATGCCATGCTATAAATATAATTCTTTGTTTTATATTATTTTATTATTTTATATTAAACTTGTAATGTTTTATATTTCACTATTATATATCTTGTACACTATAGTATCATCTTATACACTAGTATCATTTTATTGTATGATTTACTTCTTTGTTTCGTATTATTCAAACTTCTCATTTCATATTTTAAAGTTGATGCTACATTGACTTCCGTCATGAAGATGAATGGATTTTTTAACAGTTCTCGACGACTTATACGATACGTAGAAGCTGTCGCTGAGGAGTTAATTATTTCATTTCATTCATAATTTCTAAGTTAAAAATAAGTTTATTCGCTCAAATTTGACATGAATTTATTTCTGTGCAATATTCGTTGATTCTATTAATAAAACGCAAGGCGTAAATAAAATATAAGGTGAAGTTCGGGGAAGTTCTGGCATTTCCTTCATAACAAAAGAGTTCTTCTGTAAAATTAAAAATACAAAAATAAAGAGACATCAAAGGAAAAGAAAGATCTTTCACATTGAAAGGAAAGACTTTTTCCTGTAATCTGTTATTTGCGAGCATTTCTATGGGAGTTTGTAGAAAACTTTTTTCTATCTTTCTCTTCAGTCGTAAAAATAAAACAAACTTTATTTAGCTCTTTAATGATTACATAAAGCAGAGGGAAAGAAGTATGAAGTATATAAACGAAGAACTAAAATAAATAAAAATAAGGGAAACAATTTAAAAGTTATAATTATAATGAAATATGGAAAAGAATCTCTTGTATAAATGTAAATTATAACTTCTAGTCTTGTTAAAATACTTTGCAATAAAAAGGTAATTAAGTTTTTTGAAATTTTTAGCTATTATTATTATATACTATTAGTATAATATTTTATTATTTCTATTAGTATAATATTATATTATTTTATTATAATTAATATTATAATAATTTATAATATTATAATAAATTTATATTATAATTAATATTATTATATTTATTTATTATAATTAACATTATATTATTACCATTAGTATAATATTATATTATTTTGTTCAAATATAATATTAGTATTAGTATAGTATATTATATTAATACAGTATACTAACATTATTGTATTGGTATCATTAGTAAACTGCGGAAGTTTACACAGTTATGGACTAATTGAATTAAGTTTAAAGAATTTAAACCTAAATCTACCTTCTGTACATTTTTGTCCCATAAATGTATAAATATATCCGCAGTCGAATTATTATTATTATTATTATTATTATTTGGCAACGAAAAGTTTCTGCAAACGTTAAATTACCCCACCGTTGTAAAATATTCCAACAAAGCTACTGCCGTAAAGTTCAAGCGTTAAAATTCAACGTTGCACGCAATTCCTGCCATCTCTCTCAGCGCAGCACCGGCAGAGAATCGCTTCGACGATTCAACAAGCGACAGACAGTTAAATTGAATTTCGCGATACAGGTACCGTAGGCTTCTTTCAAGTACAAAGCCGACCGAAACTAGTTCGCATCGCCCGAAACCTGTTGATGGAACGAGCTTCGCGAGAGCGCGCTCGCCAAAACACAACTTCACGGTTCTTCCAATAACGCGATACTTCGTTCCCCCTAGTTTTCACGCATTTTTCAGTGAAACGTCTCTCGTTTCGCCAGACGTTTCACCCGGCCGCTACCTGTCACGTGTTGACGCGTGCACGGCGAGAAATACAGGAGACAGGGCCAGAGAACAGGAGGAGGAGACTAAAATGAAAGAAAGATCCGGAGACAGGATGGTTTGCAACGAGACGCGAGCGACGCTCATTAAGCTGCCTCGCGCAGAGCACGCGAGAGATGGAAGAAACAGTGAAAGGGTGTTCGAGTCAGGGGTGAGGAGTCAATAGTTTTCACGCGCGGCAACGTGCCGCCGGCATTTAAATGTATTTTATTTAACAGGTGAACGCGCGAGGCGGTTCAAAGCTTTGAGCTTCCTCTAGCGATGGGATCAAGTTTTGTATACGAAATCAAGTCACGTTTGGTACAAAATGGAGGGGTCCTTAGGATTCAATTGTTGCTCATCGGGGATGATATTAAATTAGGTAAATTAGACACTTGGCGCAATTCCATCGGGAGGTTTATATTTTTATTTAGTTTCTACTATGCTAATTTTCTACATCTCGCTATAACTAAAATCAATCCTCTGCGATGTTTAATCTGGAACAAGGACACACAGATTCCATGTTTCATTTCTGAATAAATAACTGACACTTCACAGAATTATATAAATAATATAAATTTTCATCTATTTCAATCCCTGTAATATCTCGACATTGAACCTGAATATATATTTCAGCTCACTTAAATAAGATGTTTCTGCTTTTTATTTTATACTAATTAGCTATTCTTTTAACTGCATTTATCATATTTAAATTAAAATGATTCACTTGAATTGTATTTTACAAATATTTACAATAATTCAGAACCATGTAAATACTTATGTTATGAAATTGATAATTATAAAACTGATTTATATTATTCACGCTAATTGTTTTGAAATCCTGAAACACGCACCTGTATTTGTAACTATCATTATATACTTTATTGTGCAAATAAATTAAATCTCTTAAAAGTAATCGAATTCTAAGTATCCATTATTACAAGCTTACTAAAATTATCAATTAATTATTGTGGACTACTTTTCATCAGAAGTAAATCATATAACTCCAGAGAACAGAATAAATAATAATTTTCGATACAAATGAAATTACAATGTTGTATTACTGTTATATTACTGAAATATATTTATCAATAAGAATAACACTTTCCGATTTAGCCACATTATAATTAGACTCTAATTTAAGTATATTATGTATCTGTATTCGTCAAAATGTCTGAAGAGGATCGTTCAAAGACAATTCAATTTTCATTTCTTCGGTAGCTATATGAGACTCGAACGTTGTTTACATGATATAAATCGTACTTAGTTCATACTTGATCCCATCACTAGCTTTCTCCTTCGACGCTTTCTCTTCAGCTTTACTCCCTTCCCTTTCTCCCGGCTCGTCGACCGTCTTATTGAGAATACTCGTTAATTACATGCCCATCCCTTTGCGCGACCTTTTCACTTGCCCTCGCGCTCGCACAGCGACCATTCCTCCCTCGTTCCTCTCGTTTCCGAGCTCTCTCGCAGACGTTCGCCTCGTGGCAGCGAGCTCAAAGTAACGCGGCACAGAAGAATACGGTTTTTCAGGTTAGGCGAGCCGGAAAAGAGGCGGCGGGAGCGAATTTCCTTCGATGAACGGCTGTTCCTTCCAATTCTTCGTGTCTTCCGGCCCTTTGACTTTGTATTTTCTTCGTTGCTCAAATCGGTCGAACGTGGAGACGATAAAACCGGGCCGGCATGATGAACGACACAACGTGGCCACCCTCCGTGTTTCAGAGCTCGCTCTCTCTCTCTCTCTCTTTCTCTCTCTGTTTGCTTGCTAATGGGGATGGGTGAAATTTGTCGGAAATTAAGGAAGTGGAATATCCTTCGATGCGCGAGCCCACGGTTTATCGCGTTTATTAATCTGGCCCTTTCCTGGCGGAGGTCTTTGAACTGCTGAGATTTCTTTCAGAAATGATTATTTCCTGCGTTTAATTGGTATACGAAGAAGATAGTTGTTCATCTGTGTTTTTATCGAGAGTTGGGTGTTGATTATTTCATGCTGTTAGATGTCATGATCTATTGTAATATTATAAATACTTCAATTCAATATTATAAATACCTCCTTTGAATTTATGAAATCGTAGAATCGAGCTTGAGACATAATAATGTAGAAATATTAAATAAATCTTTGAAATTATAATCTGTCAATATATTTGTTCCAAGTTTCTTTCGTAGTTCCAGTAAATAAAAAATAGTATTTAATGATATAAATTGACTAAGAAGAACTGCAAATAAAAATGCTACATTAACGCAACGTTTAGTTTTTAACAAACTAAAAATGGTTTGTTTCATAAGATTGAAATATAATCTTCTTTAAATATTGATGGAAATTGTTTAAGTTATACAATACCCGTTATAATTACGGTTTCATGAAGATTACACGGTAAAAAAAAAGAATTTACAACATATACAACATTGTAACGTATAATGAAATAAGATACTTTGTAAGGTTTTAATAAGTTGAATTCAATTTGAAATCCAACACCAAGGTTCTTCTGTAAATCAATATTACTAGTGGAATTTCATAATTCGTAAGATAGAAGTTATTAGTATTAATAAACTCTCGTATGTAACGGTAATAAGCTTGTAATAAAACAAACGAAACTTTTTAGATAAATTGTACAAATTACAAGTCACTTTGTTACTCTATTTTATTTAAAATTCAAACAGAAGGAAGTTTGAAAGATAAACGACAATTATAAAATGGAATTATATTTAACAAGTTGATAAAAAAATATCCAACATAAAAATTATATATAAAATATATATATTATATATATTATATATAATATA